CACAAAAAGCAAGACTTCTATTGCTGTTGGACGTCACAGTTCCCCCCCCATTTTATTCAGCTCCCAACTCCTCTTTTTACACTCCGAAGAGGAAGAAGAACGCGAAACAACAAGGCAACAAAATGAAAGCCGACTCCTCCGCGTCACTCCCTTCATGAGTCAAGAATGATTGAGTCCACATGTGCGAGGGGAGAAAATCAAATCAAATTTAAATCTCTTTCCAGGCGGTTTGTTTGGCTTTGAGATCCTCTGTGACGCACACGCGTTGCACAACACGGGGAAATTGCACACATGACTAATGTGTTCAATCCCGACTGTAGAGAGGCGGAATAAAGACCGCATCAATAATATTATGGAGAGATTTCCTGTTCCTAATCAGAGTTTGTTAATCAGAGAAAGGCCCCCACTTTGCTGAGATAAACACTAACAGCCGTTTCGCTGGTCGACTGTGACGTAGAAACGGTCGTTTAAGGTTTTTATTGTGGGTGATTTTTTGCGGGAGATATTTTTGGTGTTTTAGATTTGAGTCCTGAGAAGAGCTGAAACAAAAGATGTTTAATTGATCAGTGACACAATGTGTAGTTGTGTCCGGCGTGCACCGCAAAGACGATGATTCATTTAACAGCTGAGCGACTTTGTGGAGCTGAGAAGTTTCCCTCGTAAACCTCGATAACATCTCCATCTCCATCATGGGTTTATCTCCACACGGCTTACGTATACAGAGATCTGCTCCCACCTCCAGAAGAAGTAAGAAAAAACTGGTTCCGAGCAGGATGTTCCTCCCTGCACAGAATGAAATCAGCAGTGGGGATGTTGTTGTGTTTAATTGGTATCTGTGTTGGGGGGTTTCCGTGGCAGACAGAATTCACAAACTGAAGGAAGCACAGAGCTTTAACTTAAATAACAAAACACTTTTTCTTTTTTTTCACTTTAGAATAAATTGTAATAAGTTTTGTGTTCTTCTTTTCTTCTTGTGAATTCTCAGCATAAGACACACATTCTCTTTTTCCACTAATTTTTGACCATGAAGCAGTGACCAGCAGGGGGCGACTCCTCTGCTCCCATAGACGTCTATGAGGAAATGACTCTACTTCTCTGTAGTGACCAGCAGGGGGCGACTCCTCTGCTCCCATAGACGTCTATGAGGAAATGACTCTACTTCTCTGTAGTGACCAGCAGGGGGCGACTCCTCTGCTCCCATAGACGTCTATGAGGAAATGACTCTACTTCTCTGTAGTGACCAGCAGGGGGCGACTCCTCTGCTCCCATAGACGTCTATGAGGAAATGACTCTACTTCTCTGTAGTGACCAGCAGGGGGCGACTCCTCTGCTCCCATAGACGTCTATGAGGAAATGACTCTACTTCTCTGTAGTGACCAGCAGGGGGCGACTCCTCTGCTCCCACAGACGTCTATGAGAAAATGACTCTACTTCTCTCTGGATTTATTCCCTCAATAAACATTGTAAACACAAGTTTATGGTCTCAGTCTCTAGTTTCAAGTCCTCTTCAATACAGCCTGATGTTCAATGTTTCCAAAAGATTGTATTCACCTAAAGAAATATCTTATTTGGCGTTCAATTGCACGCGTCCCCGTTGGTTTCCCAAAAACTAAGATGGCCACTTCCAAAATGCTGATCTTGCCTCTTGAGATCACGCAGACTATTCATCCACTTCTTGTATCGTCTGTGTTTATGATGAAGCTCTATTTTGTGTTCCGTGGCAAGTAGAAGATGTTTGTAACACAATAAACTAAAGATTCCAACCTACGTTGCATCGGCATGTTGAAGAAATATGTTTGATGTTTTAAAGTGTGTCATAAGGTTCTTCTTACTCTAATACAACAGGATGTTTGAAAAGGTGAGTTTGGATTCAAGTACAACTAAACCTTTGAAGTAGAACAGGGGGGGGGGTTGTATTGGAGATGAATCCAATGTCCTGTTGAAGTGGGAATTCTTGTTAAAATGGGAGGAACCGGTCAGGAAGAGCTTTCTTTTTACTAAGCTGTGGAATGAGGGCGAACTGAGTCGGCGGCACCTCTGGGACGGCGGCCCGCCAACTATCCAGACACTCCAAGAACCCCTGGCAGCACATGAAAGAACCGCACAGAGCATTTCGTGCAGTTACTGACCGCCGATGTCACACCGTCAAACACCGCCGGCCCGTGTTGCGTTGGAAGGAGATGTTTTGCGCTCTCACGTGAATGGCAAACGCTCGCTAGCAGCACGGCGTCGGAATGGAAGTGTTGGAGGGCGGGTCGCTCAACCGCCGCGGTCCAGACTGAAATAACAGTTATTAGTTGGGTTATCTTAAAAGATTTATGTCCCCCTTTAGGTTCCTTCAGGAGCATCGGAAAAGCGAGGCTCGGCGGTAGCGGGACCAGTAAGCAACAACAAACGCTAAGCTAGCGGGTAATGCTATTACTAGCTTGGTTAGCAAAGGAGATCCCTAATTTAGATGAACAACTGTTAAATTAGCTATTTTTTTTCTCATTTCAGTCACACCTCTGTGCAGGAAAGACCCTGATGGGTGAGCCTGAGAAGTGTTTTCCACACACACACACACACACACACACACACACACACACACACACACACACACACACACACATTTCACACAACTCACCTCTATGTCCAACTTCCTTCCAGCGGGCGGCGTCCCGTCTGCCCACTGGAAGCGACGCCCACCACGGCACTGAGGTTCATGGTCGCATCCACATCCCACATGTGTTCTCACATCTTCTTGATCTTTGACTTTGACCTCTGTCTGAAGGGACGTGAGGTCCGTCCACCCGCCTGGTTCAGACTTTCATGACTTCATGACTCAAGAAATCAAAATGACAGTTTATTGAAGATGTCTGTAGAGACAACATTGGGTAGAGCTGTAGGTTTATACCCAAACACCCATGATATTCTAGCTAACATAGGATGGTAAACATTATGTCAGCCATCTTTATTGTAAGCAATTTAGCAAGCTGACGTTAGCAACTACCTCCATTGAAACAAATTCGCTACCGAATGATCACGTAAGAACAGAGAGGAAAATACGACAGAACAAAACTCGTGTGGTTGCTCCAGCAAACTGGACCTTTAAAACCCTCCCCGGGTTCAGGTTTAGAGCTGCCGTCCCTCCCGAGGCTTCGTTCTCAGAATGCAGCGAACTCATCAACAGCAGCATCGGTTGGAAAATGAACGGACGCCACTTCGCTGCGGTCAGCCGGCGGGACGCCTGTCAAGTCGCGTCTGCTTCAGCCGGTTCTGCCGAACCGAACTGGACCCGGATCCCTGGTACCACTGAGCTCGTTATGTTCAATTGGGTCTGATTGGGACGATGGGGGATCGGTTGTGTTCTTCTATTTTCGCCGGTTTTTCATCACTACTTATTTCTCCGTCTCCATTTCTTTTCAGTCCTTTGTTTCTGTTTCGGTCTGATTTGTTTATTAGCTTCCGTCTTGTAGTTCTTTCCTTCTTAGTTTCCTAAAACCTTTATTTTCTCTCCTTTCCTTCCTTCCATTTGGTACCACTCACTAATCCTTCCTTCTGTCTTGCTCCCCTTCCTTGATTCATTTCCTTCCTTTCCTCCACTTTATTTTACTACTTGTCTTTCTTCATTACTTGTTGTTCTTCCCCCCTTATGGAGCCTGATTTAATCTATTTATTTCCCTCTTCCCTCCTGTCTTTCCTCATTTGACCTTTTAATCTAACCTGCAAATAAATAAATGAATCTGCACGCAACATTTCCAAGTTATTATACTTTTGATACAGCAAACCTAATGCAAATTCACATTTTTATTCGGTTTTACGTTGCAGTTGCAGCAGAGTACTGCTCTGTCGTGTGGTAACTAACCCCACTTCATGGGCTCGAGTTCCCCTTCCTGTTTATTGATGAAGCGACCCCGCGGCCCGCGGCGGAATGACAACCACGCGGGGCACAAAAAAGTGACGCAGGCGGTGCACGCACGAGGAGCCGGCAGGGCGCAAAAGAGGCCGGCGCAGAGCACCTGTCAGGCCTCATTTCCAGCCTCTCCAACCCGACAGGCGTCCCTGCAGGCCCCGCGTCGGGGGTCCCGGGCGCGCGTGTTCGTCCGGTCCGGTCTCCCGCGCGGCACCGGGCCCGGAGCCGTCGCTGCGTCGGAGGTTCTGACGCAGGGAACCCGTTCGGTTGTAGTGTTTGGTGTCACGGGGACGCATAGCAACGCCAGCTGCCTATAAATACACTTCCAAGTGGAGGCTATTTTAAAGCTCACAGGGTCAAACGGGAGAGTTCCACGTCTTCTTACCGCTGATCAGTTAAAATGTTTAATTACTAAGCACTAAAGGGCCAGTGTTGACTATGCCAAAAATAATATACTAGTGTCAAATTTGATTCTTAACATTGATATTTGAAGATGACTGAAGGGTGGGACTTTAGCATTTGTTGTGATGAAGATGCGGGTGAAAGCTCCAATTAAACATGTATCATGATTGTTAGGAGCGATCCACATTTAGTTTGATTATTTGAAATACAGACTTGTGCGTCTGTGAAGACTCGCCCATGAACGTCATGAAAGAAATAAACATTTCCTTCAATTCAGAGTGTTGAAATAATTACTCAACCCTTCTCCAAAACCCACCTCGCCCTAAACACTGACGCCAAGAGCCAGATTCACTGTCAAATAAAAAACCTTCACTTTATCAGTATCCGTGGGTATGATGGCCAATATTAATAATGTCCCTGGATGTCCCTCCTGGAGAAAATAAATATTGTCTAGCCGAACATGCGCTCTTTTTTTTCAACGATAGCGTTTTTTGGGGAAGCTCAGTTTGCAGGTAGGACGTAGATAGCTTAGCTTAGCATAGACACTGGAAGCAGGGGGAAACAGCTAGCATAGAATAATTCCCGCCAGACTCGAATCAATCAGGTTGCACGAAAGCTGAACTCTTCCATGAAGTCTTGAAGTATATCCGCCCCAATAATCAAGTACTGCATATTTAAACCCATCGTCCAAACCGTGACAGTATTACATGTTTGTGTATATATCAGTTTATTAAACCTGATGACGTCCCGGCAACAGCTGATACATGCAAACGATGACCTTAAAGCAAAACAAATGCTACATTAAGTATTTCTTGTATGTGGGTACAACAAGTACAATACGTGATCATCACACCAAGTCTCATTATGATGTTCCAAATTTACCAAAATTAGCAAAGCTACTCACAGTTCAACTCATCCACCAGGTAAAATGCAGGTATTCAACATTAGAGTCTCGTCCCTTTTGCGTTTGCTCGGGACAAGTAACAAGCGACGTCGTACGACAATGAGTCCAAGGAGCCGGTAAACCCGGACTGGTGGGAGGAGTCACCGCCGCCGCCGCCGCCGCTTCTTAGCAAACTTCTAGTACGAAAAGTACTGTTATTAAATCATGTGTTATATCACGTTGTTGTTACGTTTTCGCGTTACATGCGATTGTTATTCATTGACACCAGTGACTTTGTTGCGTTGTACGTTGTTGTGCGTTTCTCCAGGTGTCCAACATGCAACTCCTGATGTTTCTTTGCCTACTAGGTGGTAGAATTCTGGATAAATCCCTACAGGCTACTTTATTAGTTAATAGCATAGTTTAATACTGAATATGCCGAATATGATAATCAAAGGCCTTCGACAGGATATATAATTGAGGTTAAAGGCTCCCTTGAACCTCATTTGCCTTCTAGACGGCTTTGCTGCACTGAATATAATGGCATGTTGTAAAGACAATCCTCATCGAGTACCATACTTCCAAAACATTCCTAATAAGCCCCGTGAGATGATCGCTGAGGCTTCACAAACCCATATGTCCAAGATGAAGTGTGGTCAAATGAGGCGTGAATCATTGTCCCTGGGTTTCTTCGGTTTTTCCCTCTGGTCTCCTGGGCCTTTCCGACCGCAATCCCTCCGATTACAATCAAAGCCGCCAACATCCAACGGCAGATTAATGGGAGACTTCCTCTACATCGCTTCGCGCTGCGGTAATTCATCTTAATTGTGATACATTCCCTCTGGCTGCGTTCCCAGCTCGCCAGATGCTCGGCGTCTGTTGGACAAATAAATCCCTCACAAAGTGTTCAAAGCTTCTGGGCCTCTAGAGTCTGCAGTCGGTTTTTTCTTTCTTTCTGTTTTTTTACATGTCGGAAAACAAAACATGCCGGTCAGCATCTGCCCGCAGCTGGTTCTGCTAAAACTCTCAAGAACGAGGCCCGGAACTCTGCAAAGAAATCCCCCCCCCCCCTGGTCCATGAGTCCGGACTGCCGGTTCAGGTGAAAATACTCCTCTGGTTGGCGACCAGGGCGGTCTGGCTCTCCCGCCGCCGCTCCTTCCTCCTCTCCAGCCTCAGCTTCCAGCAGACCACGCTGGACGCCAGGAGCACCAGGCCAGAGGAGAGCAGCACCAGGCCAAAGTACGAGATGGTGGACCCGTGCGAGTTGAAGCTGTAGGCCACGGCGGTGACCACCACGCCGGCGATGAGGACCACCACGCCGAAGGGGACGGTGCAGCGGTAGCAGGACAGCTCCGCCCCGCCGGTGGCGGCGGTCAGCTGAGTCTCATTGACCAGGGGGATGTTCACCGCGGTGGCCGCGGGGCGATCGCCGCCGTTGGACTTTTCTGGCGTGGCTGGCGCTCTCATGCCGCCGCCGGCCTCTTCTGGCATCGCAGGAACGCAGAGCCTCAGGGGGGTTCCCTCGCCGACGTCCTCGTTACCGCCCGGCCTTTGGCTAGGAGCTCCCAGCCTACGGTGAGAGAAGAAACCACCCGTGAGGATGAAATGGCAAACTTGTTGCTCATCAACCCGGGACGCACAGAGACTCCCCCTTCTTCTTTTTGTCAGAATCCAACACCACGTTTTCAGAATTTCAACACCCCGGTCTGCACCGCTGCTTTAAAGTGATCTCCTTGCACAATCCCAGCCGCCAACTGACCCGGCCCAGGGTGTGGGGGGTTGTGGGGGGGCTGGCTGAATGACGCAGGACCGCTCGGCCCCGCACGAGCTGAGACATTCCCTGGAGAGCGCTGGATATGACATTACAAACTGCTCCGTGAAATGCGAGGAGCAAATTCACAAGCACTCACTCCCCCCCGCACCCCCTCCAATACCCCCCGCCCCCCCCACACGACTCGCTCCAACGCTGAGCGACAATCAATGGGCGATGGGGTGTCAGTTGCACTTTCCATCATTGCCGCGGTTCTTATTAAAAAGACACGGTCCAGAAAGATGGTTCCCAAACTGAGGGGCAGGCCCGATCGGGTGGTCATGATCATGTGCTACTGGGTTATAGTATTATATACACGTTGTACAATTTGACCATACATACAGTAAGTAATGGCATTAGAGAATTATTAAAATTACAGAGTAGATCTCTGTGCAATAACGGCTCTGCTGTGACTACATGGTAGCGATGCCAGTATGTTACTGGGATTTGACAGTGTGCTGCTGTAGAATAACTTTAATTAACTGTAACTTCACAGTAGATGTTCAGCAGTGGGGTGTGCGGGTCTAAGCAACCTGGCTGGGAAAATAATGACCCGTTTGGGGTTTTTAATTTCCTGACAGTGTAGAATAACAGCAAAAATAGATTGAATTGAACGTTTGGTTGTCTTTCCAAAATAAATAAAATTGAACTGGATCCCTGTGAGTTATGAGCACATCTTCTTTAGGTGTGTGGAATTCATGGCATAGTTTATTTACACAATAAAATTCATGCAGGTTACGCCATCATTTATACCTCACTCTAAACATCCTGAAGCCTTTTCACATTTCTGCCTTTTATTTCTGAATTGTCCGAATTATTTGCTCTAAAGACAAACAGACATTACATCTGAGTGTGAGCTCGTTCATAATCACTTATTCCCCTCACATCAAATAGCGTGGGCATCTACAGAGGTCTGCAGAGCCGGTGGGCTAAAAAAAACCCAAGTTGTGAAGTCAGTTGATTTTAAAAGAAGAATATTCAGATCAATTTACTTTATTTTAAGAAAAGTGTGCACATTGCACGTTGAGTAAAACGTTGAGTAAAACGTTTTTATTTCTAATAGTTTTTTTATCTGAGGGGAATGAGTTATTCCAGTGCAGAGAGGTGGATCTGCTTAAAGCAGAAAGAGCAAAGCTTAGTTACCTCACAGCCGTTGTGCATGACTCCAAAGCCCCCAAAGCCCCCTGAAGCGCCCCGAAGCCTCCTCGGAACTCTCCTCCGACTCAAACCGTCTCAGTAGAAAGAGGCTGTTGTTTTCTTCTTCGTTGGACTGTTACAAGAAACCACTTCTTCTCGGCTTCTTCTTCTTCTTCTTTTTCTTCTTCTTCTTCTTCTGCTTCTGCGGGGGGGTCGTTCCTCTGTGGAGTCCGCTGCGGGTCGGACTGCCACTGCCATCCCCATCGAGAGCAACTATTTCAAGTATCGACGACTGGTGCGCGTTCACAGCAATAAGGGAGAATATCACATCCGGTGATGCTTTTCAGAATAAGTTCCGCTGGCATTACGTAGATTCACTGGCAGAAATTATTCTGAAATTAAATCAGTTAATTTCCGTTACTGTAAAGATTGAATGGCCCTGACACTTGAGCTCAGTAATATCGTTTGTATTGTATTGTATTTTATATCATAATAAATGGTCCTATATTATATATTTTTGAATGTTGTACTTTCCCTGTTATGTTATGTTGTGCATTTCTAGTTTTCCCTTTGCTTTTAATTAACATTAAAAATTAACATATGAAATCATACAACTTAAATGAGGGAAAAATACAATAACAACAACCACAACTTGTTAGTCAGTACAGCCAGAATCAGATGGACTCTTTAACCTGAATACGTCTCTGATCCAGCTGATTTTGCAATGGTGGAAACATGTGGGGAGATGGAACCGCCTCTTATTTTTCAAGAGAAAAATGTTCAACAAAAAAAACAGGCCATACATGTATGTGACTGTTCATTACTTTTGAGATGAATACATAAATAACACACAATAACGTCCATAGACACACACATACACACACCTGTTCCACGGGTAAATACATTCACACTTGATTGTTCTCTCACCTCCTGTTGTTTTTAAATCTGTGTTGCATAGCACTGATTTTGGCACCTACACAAACATGATCTGGTGTGTGAGAAGGTGCGGTTTGTGTTCAAATGGCGTGTTTCTCCACTTGCAAACCAAGCGGTGATGTTGTACTAAGCAAATATTTACTAGAAGGCTTCCAGTTATGTATTTATTATTATGTAATGTGTTTGTATAACCAGTTTATTAGTTGCAAGTGCTTAGATCACAAAGGCCCTGACATAAGAACTGATGTCTCCCTCTTGGATTAGATGTTTCCAGCGTCATGGCTGTAGAGAATGAACAAAGTGTTTGTTATGTCTATGACCACCTTTGTTTTAGCATGTTGGGAGAGCAAGGACACGGTCAAAGAGCTGACGTGTCTCACGTGGACAAGATGTTCCCAGTACCCTGACTGCAGAGACTCAACAAGATGGTCAAAGGTTTCTGTTGACGCCACCGATATCTAAACTTAGGTATAAGAACTGCCTCGATGTGTTGGGGGAAAAAAGAGGTTCTTGACAGTCTACTGACCACGTAGCTGTTGTGACCCTTTTTCCCTTGCATGGAAATAAACGGAGAAAAGACATACTTGACTCAGAGCCTTTGATTCTTACTTAACGATTGTCTGTGCAAAATCTTCCACCACACTATCTAACTCAAAGTGTTGTTTAAACGTTGGCTATTTTCTAACATAAGACATACGAGTACATAAAGTATGTGTCAAGTTGTCTTTTATTGTGAAAGCGGTGACCGGAAGCGCGGTTGTCTTGTGACAGCAGGGACATCAGCCGTCATGTCGTCGCGGTTTACAGATGTGGAGTTCCAGAGCGCGTGGAGGGAGCTGGATGAGCCGCAGCTGGAGGGGGGGTGGGAGCTCTTCGTGGAGGCGATGGGGGTCACCATCTATCGGCTGCTCGACAAGGTACAAAAACACAGCAAAAAGAGACGCTTTTACTGCGCGGAGGCTCCGTGCCGGGGGGGGGGGGGGTCTGTACGGGCCGTAGCGTCGGTAGAAGAACCGATTTGCTGTGTTTTCTTTCACAAACGTATTATGAGATTGTCATCCTTTATCTGTAAGTTGTGCATTGGCGACAATAACACACACACATTCCAAGCCGTCAACCCGCAGGAGACACCCGGAAAAGGAGGGCGGGAGCTGCCGGACCGGCTTTACCGGTTACCACCAAACTCCGCTTACAAATCTATCAATTGAATGTTCCGGCTTCTTTTCGGTGCATCGCTAAACACGGTAAAACCGGAAGCAATACATCTATTAACTCACACAGACCAATTCTTCATCTCGGCACACACGAGATGCAAAACTAATGATGTCACCGTGACGTGAAATAGTAAAACTACGTGCAGGGAATGATCGCAAGTCCATCAGTGCCTTTGAGTTGTATTCTAGTTAATGGAAAAAAAAAGTAACCGTGCTCCATCCCCCACCCCCCCACCCCGCCCGAAAAAAGTTCCATTCATGATTTTAACAAAAACCTGCAAAATATTTGATTTATTGTCCTATAAACTTGATGAAGTGTCATTATACTGTAAGAATGCCCTTGTAATAGTGCACTGCTCTGGTGTCAGCAGGGTAATATTGTACGTGTATATAATGGTTATTGAGGTTTAACACGCTGTCCACTGCCAAAGGGAAATCAACCCTGTGTATGGAGTCTGGTATGACTTACATACATACTGTTTTGGTACAGAACTTTAATGTGCTGTTTTTTAGGGATCTCAACTTTATGAGTACAAAGTCTTCGGCGTGCTCGCCACCACCGCAGAGCTGTGTGCAGATGTCTACATGGACTTGGCCTATCGGAAACATTGGGATAAATATGTGAAAGGTAAAAAAAAAAGACAGGTGGTTCATTCGCCATGCACGTGTTACGGGTGCCAGCAACGGGACCACAGCAACAAAGTGGAGTAATCTGTAGGACAGATGAAGTTCAGCAGCGAAAAACGACACGAGGCGTTCATTTACACTGGCACGTTGTTTGTGCTGAGCGAGCGGGAGTCACGCCCTAAAACAACCTGTGCGCAACTGCTCCCGTGTCAATAGTTCCTCCTGAGGCATTGCAACTGTTTCCGGTCCCTCCTTAGGTCCATGCGTCCACATTTTGTAATAATTACATTGTTCTACATATTAAACATTTCCATCAACGTGGTTACATTTCTGGGTGTGCACACATACATTTACTTTGCATTAACATGTCTAATTCTTCATCCTCCTCTGCAGTAATGCAGGTAACTTTGTTGTTGTTGTTGAGCCACATTGTTTATAGTCGTTTGTGTTTTTATTAATCTTCCCCTCCAGAGTGGGACTTGCCTTGCTGTTTATTATTACTTTGCATTGCAATATTTCGTTCCCTTTCCTATGAGATGGAAACCACCACCAAAGCCCGTTTATGCGCATGTGAACGCATCCAGATGTTTATGAAGCTGCCTCTTCTCTCGTTCTACCCAGAGCTCTATGAGAAGGACTTCAGCGGACAGACTGCGATCTACTGGGAGGTCAAATACCCATTTCCTCTGTCCAACCGAGACGTATCCTTCTTGTGCACGCGCAAACACGCACGCGCTTACCGCGCCTCAGAGTGTCTTCCCTGACGGCCGCAACCTCAGTACGTGTACGTGAGGGAGCGCCGAGACCTGGACGTGGACGGCAGGAAGATCAGCGTGATCATGGCCCGCAGCGCGCCCGAGGTACCGTGCGCGGAGCTGAGCGGCGTGCTGCGCGTGAAAGACTACAAGCAGAGCGTCGCCCTGGAGAGCGACGGGGGCTCCGGGACGAAAGGTACCGACGCAGTGTGCCAATTATATTTGTAATCAAAGGCTCCAGGAAACAGTTGGCATTTCTTAGGATCATATGATGATTTCTAGCTGAATATGAACCGTTTCCTCACAGTTTTCCTGAACTACTTCGATAACCCCGGCGGCAGCATCCCAACCTGGCTGGTGAACTGGGCCGCCAAGGTGAGCGCGCGTTTCTTTCTGCACTCCTTCTTTCCCGCGGTGAATCCAAACATTACGCAAACCTTCGCTGCTTCAGAGCCGAGGGCTTGTTTAGAAGCTTAAGGGGCGCCGGGGGGAGTTGGGGGCTCGCTGAGCGCTTGCAGATGGTCACATGTGAAGCATTTCCTCACATCGGTGGAGTGTGTGATTTTGAGGAGGTCGGCTTCTAGATCCGTTTTGAATTCCTCAGCGATGGTGTTCATCTGGGTTGTGTACAGGAGAGAGAAAAGAGTTTAGTCCATGTGAATGTTGTGTATTGATACACAAGGCCAGCGACTACAGGCCTGCGCAGCACACCGGTTCAAACGGCACCGTTCATACCGGTGTTACGCCATAACAACTGACGTTGCTCTTGGGCAGAATTTATTCCTGCGCGTCTCCGAGGAGCGCCGAGCGGCCGGAGCTACTTGCCTTCCGTGTGCAACACAACAGCTTGTGACACTATTTGTAACACTATTAATTGTACATTCAGAAAAAATGACCCCACCGAACCGCATGCTGGGTAAAAGCTCACAGCAAGAAGTAACTTGCTACGTGAAAACACGGATAAGAGCGACACAGGAGGAACAACGAGAGACCAGAGATGCACCAACGCAACTTGTGCCCAACAGAGGAGCTGCGTCTGTTTGGAGGGTTTTTGGTTTTGGAGAATCCAACCTAATTTACATCGGAAAATTGCAAAGTCTGTCGAGTCTGAGGTGGCAACACGAGCAGCCACAACAAGCTAACTAGCTAACGCGCTAACTCGCCGGGCCAGTTACGTGCAAATTGACCATCTAGCGGCGAACAGCTGTTCGGGTAGCCGGCGGCGGTCCTTTTCGGGGTCAATGAACTAATGTGTTTACTTGAAACAGCGATACCGTCAGAATCTTTCTTAATACTGTGATATGGATTTTGGGCCATATCGCACAGCCCTACTACAGGGGTCCTCCTCAGTTCACGGCTTTTGTGCCTCCTTGATTCCTTTCCTGGCTACCAGGCAGAAATAAATCAGGCGCACTCTTTAAGTGTGGCTTTAAACGTGTTAGTGTCTGACTGCTGGACGGATGTTCAGGCTTAATAAAGGAAGGAAAGGAAAAACCCCACCGAGACAGCAAAACACTCAAATGACATAACGTAGATCAACCGGCAAAATAACTTTGCCTCCACACACACAAACCGTTTCCCCTCCGGCAGCCATCTTTTAAATCCTTCAAAACTGCACGTGTGTGTGGTTGACCCGCTGAGGAGGTGGGCGGGTTCACTCCGGGGCCTTGGAGAGCTTTCACATGTTATTGAAAGCAGATGTGTTGGGGGATAAGGTGATGGGGGGGGGGGGGGGTCTCACGCTTGGGGTTGAATAAATGGCTCTATAGCGCCCCCCAGAGATCATTTGAACTTTGACCCCTCTCGACCCGCATGTCGGAATAAGAGGAAATTCCACGCGTTCATAAAAGGTCTCTCTGCTCCAGAAAAAAGTCAATCAGAACCCCTAAAGCTCTCGCTCCCCAAACCGGCATTTAGAAATTTGTGGAAATATAACATACGAGTCCAACCACGAACTAGTTATCTGTGAATCACCATTGAATGTCATCAACGTTGAACCAATGGCGCTGTTGGGTGGTGTTTTGTGTGACAGAAATGTGTGTGTTTCGTCTCCACCAGACCGGGGTTCCTGGTTTCTTGACAGAGATGCAGAAGGCCTGCAGCAAATACAGCGACTACTGCGAGAAGAAGTGACCCCTCGATGCTGCGTGAGCTCATTCCACCCCTCCATACAGGGAGGGAGGTACGGGGGGGAGGGGGCGTGGAGGATGGCGTAGGCTGCTACTTTGTCCTCGCAGCACGCCGTTGACTCAGGCATGAGGTGCCTGACTCCCTCACCACCAGGCTGCTGTGGAATAAATTTGGTTTCATTGTACCGTATCAATCAATACAGTGGCGTCACTCTTTGTCTTGAGCCTTTTTAATAAAAATACAAATCAATGAATATATTATATTATTATTACTACGTCAGAACAATGATTTGTTTAAAAAAACAGCTGGGGATCTATTTTCTAAGTCTTGATTTAAATTGTCTTCTCTGAGTACTACAACAAACTCTAAATATATGTACTCCAAAAAATGTATTTCACCAATTTCCACGGATGGAAAAAGAGAGAGTAAATACAAATGTAGTCCCCGTCTGTTTTAAAGAAGATTTTTCAGCAGAAAATCAACAGCGGAAAGAAAACTATTCATCATTGTTCACTTTATTTTTTCTCACTTGCCTCTCAGGGCTTTCTTTTAATTGATTCATGTCATAGACGTTTATGTATGCTACTGTATGTTTTGATCAGTGGAATCTTCCTCACTGTTCATTTTAATTCACAGAATTAATCAATTAGTTTTAATTAAGGGAAAAAGACAAATCTGTACTTGGGGAGGAATGTTGCCTGATGAATTTCTTATGATCAATTTTCATGTGTTCATTGCTTTATGATACTCAATGCTGATTTATTACGGGTGAAAATGGTCAAAGGTGCCGCTTATCTGAGATGTACTGTATAGATTCAGGCTGTACATTTTTACTCAGGTCATGATAAAAAAAAACTAACTATTACTGTGTAATATTCCTGTGTTATTGAAAATAATAAACTTTCCTTCTACACAGAATATATGTGTGACTTTCATAGTATTGAACTCAACATTTAAACACCAAAGCCACACATTAACACAAACCAATGAACCGATCAAGGGAACAGTAGGAGGGTAACTGTTGTGTTCTGCACGTCAAAATCCCACTTATGTCAAAGCAGCCTGGTGTCTTTGAGGAGCGCGTTCACGATGCCTGTCAATTCCATGCGCATTCTAAGCCCCGCCCTCTATGCGGTTTAATGGGCAAAATACCTGACCAGGTGGAGGCGCTGCTGCAGGTAAAACCCCAAAGTAGGCGAGGTAATGTTTAGCTACAGTATTTGAATGGAGGGAGTCACGGTCAACGTCCATTTTAAGAGTGATAGAGTGAGTTTTTAGGACCTTAGCTAGCTAGCTAAAACGTTAGCGCGCTAGCTAACATGTGCTAGCTAGTGTAACTCCAGTGTGTATGCCGGTGGCTGTTGGTGGCAGAAGTATTCACATAGTTTAGAGATAAATACTCTTCCTAGTGAAGGCTGAAGGGACAAGCCGACTTTACAAGCAGCTCAGAATGTGTTAAACCACAGGCAGCTAACGCTGTCCCGGCTAGCTTTCCATAGCACTAACGTTAGCTTAAAGCTGAAACCATGTCGACGTTAGCTTAAATTACAAGGCTTCATCGGTTACAGCCAATGTTTTAACAGTTAAGGATTTACTTGACACATTATGTTGGGTTTGAATACATGTGTTATCTCTCCTTACTTAAAAACATTTAAACATTATTAGTGTTTCTCTGGTATGTTAGCAGCAGTTTGGGCTAATCTTGTATTATTAAAGGAGAAAATAGTTTTCCTAATGGAATATAAATGCTTGACACGCTTTAAAAAATCTGACCAGAGTTTAAACTAAAAACAGTTTTCAAGGTAAAAAACTTGCAAAATACTGTCATGACCGTAATGTATGGAAGTAAATCACTTTTAACCCGTCACCAGTTATAAGTGAGTCTTTTCTAACTGTAAGTTAAAACATAACCGTTGTTATGAGGATGCATTAATTGGCTTGAATTTAGGCCTCACTTATGAGAATAAAAGTTCCCTCCTGCGGCTTTGAAGGTGAACCGCAAACCCCCCGAGTCAAATACGCATAGAAGACCATTAAGAGGCCCTGCTGGTTATACAGCGCGAGCCCACTTGTTTCTGCCTTGCAGGATCTTCAGTGGAAACAATGAATGGCGGGGTCATTTCCTCGCTGCCCCTATAATCGCTCCTCTGCCACGGAGTTAAAAGTGAAAACCCGGCTGGGACAACGCCCTCTCACCCATGGCCCCGTTTCTACTCCCTGCTGGGCAGATGTGAACTGAAGTGTTGGCCCAGATGTTTCCTGAGGGAAGAGTGTGGTCACGGTTTCCTATGAGGTCACTGTGTGGCGGGTTTCTCGGGGGTTTGCTATTATGTCTGTCTCACTTAATGGAGTCAATGGATCCTGGTTTCCTGTGGTTCTATTTAAAATCTAAATATTGTGTTTTGAAATGGAGATGAAGTAGTAAATCTTTAAGTGACAGATGGACATGGACAGGATTCTCTGGGTATCCTGTGAAGATCTGAGCTCCTGGCCAAGTCTATGGTCCTTTGGTATAAAGAAGACAAATCAAATTAACTAAATGATTTCGGAAACTAGGAACAAACTTTTTAAGGGCAGATGTTTGAGATTGGCAAAAAAAAATGAAATGGAAGGTGAAATGCTTTATTCAGATAAAGAAGCACTTTTATTCTCATTGATGTTTTTGTCTTTAGCTTGTCTTGGACGTCTTGAATTGAATATATGATGTGATTTGGATATGGAGATAATAATGATTTTGATGAAAACAGGCTTAAATTGTACATGCAAAATTGTTGGTGTACCCTGTGGATGAAAGCGGTGTCTCCATAATGCGTTCGTATTAAACCAAAATGTTTCTTAACTACTTCAACATGTCACGTTGAGAAAAGAGCCCTTTGGTGTAAGCTAAGTTAAATTCTAATTAATACTTAAAGGTATATTATGCCCCACGTATTGGGTTTAATATATGTGAACCGCTTAGTGTTTTGGGGCAGCGGTAGATGAAGGTGACATTTATATCTGTTTTACATACAAATAGATACAAAAAAGCCTTATTGTCTGAGTGAGGATACATTTGCAGCGGAGATGTGTGATGTTTTCACCCCCTCTGCTGGTGGAGGTTGTAAAGTGACTGAAGTGTTGCCTTTGTCTCAACACTCTGAAGACCACCAAGTATCAGCGACAGTTTTATTTATTTAGTGCGGGAAGTAAGAACAATGCATGCAGTTATTAAGACGGTCTTGAAGTAGAATTTTGAAGTTGACAATATGCTATTTACTTTTATAATAGTTCACTACATCCATGGTAGAAAAACATTATAGAAGTTCATACATGGGAAATGATCATTTTCTCCTTTTGAGAGCACGTTACGACTTTGACTCTACAAAGGCAAATATACTTAAAGTAGGAGACCCAGGGCCAAGCCTTCTGAGCTTCACCTCATTTCAGATTTATTCACTACTCGTATCTATTGGATAATTTAAACAACGCACAGTAATGATAGAACGTCTTGTCTTAGTTTCATATAAAGCCCTATCCAGGATAAAGGCCTATAACCACGCCAGGTGGAAAAGTAGAATTATTCATCCAAGTAAACAGTTATATAAAGCTTGTACATAGATTAGATGAAATAAATGGTACTAATCTCCTTTTTCTAAAACAGCCAGCAGGCAATTAGTTATTGATGAAACCCTGTGAGAACGGACCGATTGGATCTGATGGAGTTTCAACAAAGCTCTCGTTGGTTTGTTTGGGAATAACAGAGAGACACAAATCAGACGCTTGAATCCGCTCCTCGATGCAACATTTCATCCCCTGGAATGTCTTGTGAATAATACGCGGCCCCGCAGTCTTTCCACCGCCGCTCTTTTCACAAATGGAAGACAAATATATTCGTTGGCCGGCCGCCGTGCTTCACTGCGAGGTTCTTTTGATTAGTAATATACAGAGCTAATTAGCTTAAGACAGTGATATAGTTTCTCTGCCGGACCCCTGCCCCGTCCCGTCCGCGCCCCCCCCCCTTCGCGTCGGCTCAGATTTCCCAGGTGCCTCTCTGTCTGTCCGAGGTAACAAAGTAATGGTCTCCATTTGGAAGACTGTTTTTCAAACGTGTTTTTTCTTGAAGTGATTTTTAAAAGATTACGATTAGAGATATCGGTGCCCTCGAGGGACTCGTTGACCCCGAATGGGCCTTCTGCTGCATTATGCATGCCGACTCACATGAAAGATCAACGTGAGCCCATGTTATAAAGAGAGGGGAGGTAACGCTTTTCTTTATTTCACTGCTCAAACTCCTTCTCTCTCCTCTCATCACAGAGTGAAAGACAATCCTGTTATTTCCTGTGACATCCGGACCTCAGGAAGGAATAAGGTCTGTTTGGCATAATTATATTCCTAATGAATGAATATTGTTTTTGCCGGTACTATTAAGGCAGAGGTGTGCTTCAAACAAAAAGGTTTCTACTGGTTTCTAGTAAAACAAAAGGGGTTTGGGGATTTGAAAAAGTATTTTTCCCCCATTAAAATTTTATTTCGAGACAAAGATCGAAGATGTCGTAAACTGCACAGATTATATGACCCTCTGAGGCTAATTAACAATATTTCATGGTGTCACACACAACCGATGGAATCATTTTATTTCCCAATTGGCTCCAAACGTGCGATTTAGTCCCGGTATGAAGGAATAAGTTAATAAAAATCTTAAGTTAGATATGTTCCGTGATTTGGGAATTTAAATTACAGGATGAATAAACATGACCAAGTGTTACCTCCCTAGTCATGGAAACATTATATAATGTAGATTTAACAATAGTTATGAGTGCCTGTGTTCACCTCTATGGCCTTTTTGGCAAAAAGAGAACCATAACTTTTCTATTAGTGGAATTTCTTTACTAGATCTCACTGGTAACAAACAATTTCCAAGATATAGACACTGGTTCACAGCGTTCTGATGTTTGCCTCGCATTAATCTTTAGAGGCTGCACAAGTTGCATAACGCACTTTTCCATGCAGTCAACCAGCTTCTGCTGGCCGTCAACGTTAGCAACTGAAGCCCTGCTGCATTTCTCTTTGCGTGAGCCGGTCCAGTGGATCAGAGCCGAGCCTTCTGACCGCATGATACGGTTTAAGTGGTTGTTCAGATGAGGAGCTTGCTACAAAAAGGAGTTGTCTTCAGGCGTGGCAATTTAGATTTGATTTATGTGGGTGCTCAGGGACCAAAGAAGGTCACGTGACTTTATGTGGTTCGCCTGTCACTTGGTCATCTGATACTGTAAGATTTGTTCCTTGTCTCCGGAGCGTTTTTTCCGTCGTCTTTCTTGGCAGAGAAATGTTCTTATAGTTGTGCAGTGTTCCGTAGCTGGTTAACACCTGACTCTCGGTGGTATGAAAGTGCTGCATATACAAAACAAAAGGTGAATGGTCAAAAGTCTGTGTGAACAGGAACCAGAACCAAGGTGGAGTCATTTATTCCCAAATAAGCTAAGCTGCAGGTGTGAGATAATGTTTGAAGCCAAGAGATAATGTTTGACCTTTACCCTTTATATACCTGGACAACAGGTAAATGGTTGAATCCAAGTTGATCTTTGCTCTCAAATCATCGTTCAGTACCTTGAAGTTGATACATTATTTACGTAAATGTCTTCAGAAATAAACACACCTTAAGTCAGTTTTCAGAAATAGTTGTATTTATTAAAAATGATCAAATAAGAACTGAGAAGGATCTGATCTGTTAGCGGAATATTTACACGTCCAATCTATATTTTGACAGATCTTTGTTGTTATTTGATGCTAATCATTCAACAAAGGGAAACGTGATTCTCGGCCTTTCACCCGACTGAACGGCTCCCAGGATGATTTAAACCTCCTCAGAGAGGGAGGGGGCCCATCTTTCCTTCTCTACTTCCACCATTTGTTTCATTCCGACACGGCAACCATATTAT